AAAATAAATTGTCCATAACTTATAAACATTTTCCGTTTTTAAAATAATTATCTGTTTTCTGCTATACATTTACATATGTATGTAATTTTCTTAAACTGAAATAAATAAGAAATATAATAGCGCTATATAATAAGCATTTGAAAAACTTTAAATCAAAATCCTAATCAATAGCATTATAATATGGACGAAAATAATGAAATGTTTTTAGACCTAATACGTAATATTAATATATTCAGAAATTCGCAAAAATATCTATTCATCGATATACTAGTAATTTTTATTTAATGTGTTTGTTTTAAACCAACCATGGAATGTTAATTAATGTTAAGAAATCTTGTCAAAAGAATATAATAAACTACATTTAATTTTCCTTAAATGTTTGAATGTGTCTTAATTACGTTAATATAAGCAATAATAAAACTTAAAATTATTATATTTTGCTAAACATTAAACACGTGTTAATGTGTATTAAACTTAATAAGTTTGCAAATTATTTACAGTTTTATTAATAATAAATTTGTGAGAAATACAGAATAACAGTGTTAATCTATTATTACACATATTTTTAATTTAATATGATTGAAGTTTCGTTTTAAAATATTTAAAACATTTACTTCTAACATATTTTTTTCATGTATCCTTCTTAGGTGTATAGAGGAATACAGAAGATTGTGTGGGAACACGTTTTCATGGATTGAAATATTTTAATCTCCTATTTCTCTATTCAGCGGAGTTTGAAGTGCCTTGAAATCATGTGAGTATAATTTCATTATTATGAAATAACTTTACTTTATTAGTTTTAAAAATATTTTATCACATGAAGAAGATATGTATATAATGTAGCTTTACATTTATAAAAATTTATTAATTTTATTTATTCATATATATTATTTCAGGTATATTAGATTAGAGCTTTTGCTTTTTGTTTTTGGAAATTGCATTAATCATTTATCATAAAGCATAGATAAAACAGTTTTAATTAATTAGTGATAAAAGTATCAAATTTTGATTTGCATGTTTAATTTAATTTGCTCCCTTTGTTAGTTATGCTAAAATCTATGAGATAGTAAGACTTTTTTTCAGGCAATGGGATGTACAGACTATGCACAATTATAATTACATCAGTTGAAGAAATAATGAAGAACTTAAACAGTGTAACTATTAAACAGTGACTGGTATGGTAAAATACAAGATATATATTTTAAATATCCTCAAAATTCAATGTCGGTTCACAATTCTTCCAATGCAATAGACAGAATTTTCAAAAATATTTATTCTGTGTATTTTTGTGATTTTACAAACTGTTAGAAAATAGAATTAAAAATTATAATTAATGATAAAAAAATAGTTTACAAAATATCCATGGAAATTTTATTAAATTTTTCAATTAGATTTAATTGATGTCAATAAAATATAATCTTACTCATTTTGATCTAATTTAAACTTTTTACGGTAATATATAAATAACTTAATATTTAAGTCGTTTAAACTTTCGAATAAGATAAAGATCTTCATTTCATTTCTATAATATTTTAGAAGTATAAATTTAACTTCTCATTTTATAACATAACAGTATAAATGTATATTATACGGACATGTACGCATCCGTTATCTAGAATAAAAAGATTCAATTTAAAATAAATATTGAAAATAAGGATGGAGTGAATATTAATTTTTATTTTTTGTGAAAAGTAACAAAAATAATAAGGTTATTATTTCAATTTATATTTGAATTTTCCGCGCAATGTATGAAATTATAATTTTTTTCGGCAGATGGCGCAAGTTGCAGTTCGCTACCAAAATGGCGTCTGTAAACGCGGTGTGTACGAAGTAAATTGAAATATTTATCCTGTTTTCTGTGTAAACGGTTTTAATTAATATTTAAGAATAGTTTAAAAGTATCTAGAAAGTAAGTGGAGATAAAGTGTAAATTTTTATTGTGTATCAAGATGATTAGCGAAGTGAGAATAACGTTTAACTTGCATGGTTTGGCGCGCTCCATCCATACCACAGCTATAGGTATGTACTATTTGAAATCGATATATTGATATTTGAAGATTATTAGAAACATATATTGTACATTTGAATTTTCATATTTTTGTGTTAATATTTTTGAAATAAATTATTACAAAATGAAAACTTTTGAACGATCTTCATATTTTACATTGACAAGTAATTTATTATTTATTATTATACTTTGATATTTTGAGCTTAACGTTCGAATTAGTTTTCATTTCAATGATTTTTACAATTTTATATAACAGATTTTTTATTTCTTTTCTTAATATCATATTATTTTATCGACTTAGTATTATTAAATACTTTACTTTTTTTACAAAAACAAAATAATTGTTCAGTTTTATTTTTTTTAAATAGATAAAATATTTTGTAATTTTTTAAAAATTCATTACCACAAATTCTTGTCTTAAGGCGTTAAATCCTTAAAGCTCACTTTAAATGATTAAATAGGATTATACTGAACATAAATGTATAAATTGCTTAGAAACAATATTCTTATTTATTTATCACACACCAATATACAAAAATGAACTGTATAATCAATATCAGAATATAATATACTACGAAATTCAAATATATTTAATAAAGATATATCTGAGTATCTTACAAGATTAGAATGATGCTTCAACTTCGAACAAAAATGGTCTACAACATTCTTTGCAGTTGGCACAGAAATTCTGGTAGAAAAACGTTTTTCTACGGTCGCTCTAAGGATTATAAATAAGTATTAATTTACGGGACCTTACGTTCTAACAAGTCGCCTAAGTATTCGTGAATGAAAATAAGGGGATCCAAGGATTTTCCTCTGACTTTTTTCTCTAACTTTTTACCGTCTCTTTTTATTTTCATTTTCTAACTAAACTCACGGCGTTGGTCTCGATACTCGGGGAAAAATGTTTTTTCCTATTTTTCCATAGCTTTTTTTTCTGCTTCTTAATTTTCTTTTCTTTTCTTTTTTTTTCTCTTATTGAAGAAAATTGCGGTCAAAGTAGCACGCAACGTCGTAAGGGGAAAAAAAATGACGTATTCGTCATTTGTTAGAAATAAAATTTATCGACGCGATAAAAATCTGATAACTATTCGTAACTAGCGTTTGGTTGGTTTGAATAAAGTTCGATGGTGCGCGTCTCCGGTAAACGAAAGGTCTGGTGTGTGGCGCCATCTACAACCGCGCTAGTACCTATGAAAAAACATGGAATGATAATAGTAATTTTAGTGTCTTTTTTTTTTTTCTTCTCGTTTTTTCCCTCCTTTCGTTCTTGCCTTGTTCGGTTTATGCCTTAGTAATATTACGATTATATCACAAGAAAGATTCAAATACTCTGTACATAATATCCCGGAACGCGAGACGTTCGATCAGGTTTCTTAATCTTACATTTACATACGCCTAAGATTTAATTACAAAGTTAGATATGTCTCAGGTTCACCTGGTATTGTACTTCAACGCAATTTCTCGTGCTTCCACTCTGAGTTTGTTCTCCCTATCTTTTTCCCCTCCTTACACGAAACTTTTCGAGTAACCTCAAAAATAACCATTGATCGAGATCGTTTCCTCCTTCTCTCGCGATTATATTTTCTTTCGTTTTGTTTCTCACGAAACAAAAGTTCGATACGTCTATTCTCTAAAATTCGAACGATGTTCGCTCGATATTAGATATTTTCGGCTACTCGCTTCTAATCGTCAGAATATAGATCTTACATTTCTAAACTCGATATCGTTAATTGGCACATCTCAAATGGCAACTTTCGTATTGGCACGATGAAAATGATCCTTAGAGTTTTTGCCTTCTTTTTCTTTTTTTCTTTTTCTTTTTCTTTTTTTTTTTTTCTCTTTTTCTCAATTTGTTGACACCGATGAACGCACACACGCTGTATGTGAACAAAATTTTTAGAGAAATAGTAACAAGGAGCAAAATATGTAATTAAAAATTACCTATTTTGTCGTTAAACTCGCTCTCGACGCTTAAATTTTTGAGATTAACAATTAGATGAATCCATATAACGTATTAATAATCGGCAATTAGCACGAACGAATATAACACAATCGACGTTGTTCAATAACGATTTCGAAGTTACATATGTCACTCGTTTGTTCGACCTATCCGTCATATACCGTGATATTATATTGAATTTATGCTACAAATCTATGAAACATTACATTACACGAAACGGATCAATCGAGCGTAATAACAAAGCATCGAAATACTGTCCAAGAATTGCAACTTTAAGCATAACGGTGTGATCATAAAATATTCTCGATTGAAATCATTGTTCAAATGATCGAATCGCTAATAGAAAGTGCTTGGAGAGAGTAATTCGCACGGTGTGTCGTCAACTATTCCAGCTATTCGAGAAGAAAATCTTTTTATTACGCGTGGATGAATCGTGAATCGAAACTCGAGCATATAGAAAACTATTACGTATCGTAAATTCGCTAATTTCCTACCACGAAATCGTTCGAAAACTCGCGTGTCGCCGTGATGAATATAACAATCGATCATTGTGATGAACAAACAATTATTGCAATCATCGTTCATCGTCCTTCGTTATTTTGATTTAAATAAAACTTGCTCGGCTACTAATAGATAAAGATTCTAAAATTTAATTTTTTTTTTTTTTTTTTTTTTTTTAAGCCTCGGACGGCTGTTGCACGTGTGAATTCTCACTTCTTTTTTTTTTCTTTCTCGTTCGTTGCGACACGCTTTTTCTTTTTAATCTCGCACGATGCGATCGTATGCTCTTACATTCTCAATGGATAATCGATTCGCAGATATTCTAACGAGAGGACGAGAGAGATTAAAGGATATAATAATATAATATAGAACATGATTTCATGACCGAGTCCAATTAGAATCCGATTATGTTAAGTCGATATCTTTTGATGATAAAATCGTTAATCGTAAAATTATACTTTTTAAAAAACGAAAAAGATAACGTAATGTTTATTCACGCTTACGAGGAAACATGTAACTTCAAAGACGAAGCGAATATGAATATGGAACGATTGTTGTATACGTGCTCATATTTAAATGTTAAATTATTCCACGCGTGATGGACTCGGTCAATCCATAGGTGGTCCATAAGACGCAAGCGGATTTACAATCGTTGTAAAATCGTTAAATTATAAATCGTGCGCGATATAGAGAGCAATATATCACTATGCTGACAATATATAATGCTTACGTAACAGCGTCGTAATCGATACTACTGCGCGTCTGTGTGTCGGATGAGCTCGTTAATGAGCAAAGAGTAGCAGATGCTTGAGCAATATAATATAAATAGTCGAAAAAATTATTACGAAGAGAAAATAACATGTTGCTGTGAGAACTGTTGCCTTCTTCGTCGCTGTTACCTCTGTGCGCCCTCTCGATTATCGATCGATTCGCGAGTCACAAAAGAAGGGAGACAAAGATCAAGGCGTTCGACGAATATACGAAATATATCCTTCTCTCGTTAGATTTTCCAATTTCTTAGACAACGCGTATTCTACGAGTATATATATCGTGAAATTTGTAAAAATCGTGGTAAAATCGATTGCACAAACGTTTGGACTGTATCACTAAAAAAGACATATCACAAGTAATATGATACGCGCGTAAATATTTCATTTTTCTCGAAACGATCGCGCGTGATAGAAAAAAAGTGAGCGGGGAAGACGCGAATGAAAGTTTTCGATCTTTTATTACACCACGACGATCCCGTCGAATCGATCGATACGTTGCTTCTTCTCCTTCGGCACAGGCGCGTTTTCAAACTGAATCGAAACAGGCAGTGGAAAGAACAAACCGATAACAACAGTCACTCTTAATCGAGCACATTCTCGTTGTTGATCGCGCGTAACCGCGAATCGTTGGAAACGTGTGGTTTCTTCGAAACGATACACGTACGTAATACCTTGACTTGTGTCCTCGTCCTCGAACCAAGAGGGAACGAAGCATAGCAATATCTCGTTTATTATCCCATTGCCGATCGTTTCGAGGCTTGTCGAGCGAGGCTCACCACGAGGCTCTCGTTCGTTTTAATCGACTAACAGAGATTGCACATTTCTCCTGACTTCTTCGTCATTCGTTTACCTAGTAGAACACTTTCGACCAGCCAACCTCAGCGAACACGGATATCCGCGAGCACGTAGGCCTCGAGAGAACAGAACAGAGATTCTCTTCCTCTTCTTCTCGTTTCTCTACATCTTCTCCCCACTTTCTTTCTTTTTTCTCGTTTTCTTTCTTCTTTTTTTCTTTTGATTATTACAACGGAGCTCGTGGGTGGACATACGTGTCGTCTCAGTGGTCCATCAGAAGAAGCTGTTCGCGATTAGGATAGAAAAAAAAGAAAAGCTCGCGAAAGCTCAGTTGTACGGCCAGGAGTGCCTAATTGAAGTGACCACGTTGGAGGTAGGCGGGTCATCTGGGCGTCACTTCTTCATGTCGTTCATCAACGTGCCGTCCTTGCTCTTGTTCGTGTCGAGGCTCGACTGTTGACTACTTGTCACGCCGCTTCCGTTCCCCGGATACATCTTCTCCAGATGATTCAGGGACTCGCTTAGGAACTTCTGTAACGAATAATTTTGAATTAATCGGCACGTGGAGGAGTCGATATTATTTACTGTCCTAGCAATGATTCTCAACCTGTGGATCGTGATAATTGCAAACGAGGAAAAGTTAGAAAATCGATTACTATTTTTAGTGAGCGAAATCTTTTGAAAAAAAACCTATAGTATCGTTCTATTGGAAAATTTTTATTTCAAGTTTAGAAATATAGAGGGCAGTACCTGTATTGCCGTAAGAGCGGCTACGATTGCAGGGCTTCCGAATCCGTGTGATATGAGAGAGAAATGTGTCAGGTGTCTCTGTATGCTTGGATCGAGGATGTGTTGCGGCCGTGTGTTGCAAAGTGGCGATCTGTCTTGATTCAAAAGATCCATCAGCTCTTTGGTGATTTGTCTGGAACAGGAGATCTCGAATTTTAAATCTGAATCTGAACTTCGATTACAAACCCAATATGTATATATATATATATATATATTCGGATTATCTCTCGCCATTGTCCACGAGGAAATAAATTCTTACTTGGTGGCATGAAGAAGTTCTTTTCTCCTGTAGGAATCTTGCGGTTCGCAATGCTGCCGGCTGAGGTATTCGGCAACTTGTTTCGCAGGGAATTCGGTTTCGCATACGTAGCCGAAATCTCTGGCAAGGTGAATGGCTTCTCCTGCAAGAAGAAAGAAAGAAAAAAGAATAAGATAAACTTGTTATGGGATGGAACTTCAATTACGCAACTCATGGAAATGCGCGAATTTTTTTTTTTACCGTTTACGATTCAATGGAACGAGAATAATATAAATTCGAAATTCGTATACAAATTTTTCTATCTTTTTTCCGTCCATCAAAATTATCTCGTACTCTCTTTATGCACTTCTCTCATTTTATGGATTATTTCGAACACTCTAGATATCTTACGTAAAACGAGCCGAAAGTTAATATATTGTTAATTGATCGGGAAGATTTACATCGTCGCCATTTTTCAATTCATCCTCGACCGTAGAAATTACATCCCTTCAATTCCATTTCTTATTGCATATCTTATTCTCAAATCAAATTTTTATTTTTACCTCACAAAATAACAAGATTCTGGTTAATATGAAAGTATGAATTCGTCGAATTGAAAAATTAACGCTTAGAAAGATCGACAGATTCCCTTCTCTGATTAAAACGAACCTTGGCCATTTCGCGCGTGCCAGTCACAAGATTGTTCTCTCTCTCTCCGGAGGAACTAATTTACGATAATGAAACAGCATACGTGCTTTCTCTCGAGCACGTGGTCCGTTTCTCCCCCTTTCGGAACAATTCCCTTCATCCGTCACCATTTCTCTCTTACTCCCGCTGCCTCTGTCCCCTGCACCCCTTTCTCCCCCTTTAGATGATGGCAGGTAATTAGGTACCTACAAGCAAGGGTCTCGTGCAAGATGGAAGCGAGCCCGCTGGGCGCTATTATCGACAACCGAGCAAAACCACCCGCAGGCCTGCCGGGTTTCGTCCTTACGAGATCGAGAACACGGCCATCCGCGGCTAACGAATTATCCAATTTCGCGGGCTCAACCGTTTCTTCCTTTTCACGCGGGTGAAAAGTATGCAAAATTATCCTGATCGATAATTGCCCCCTTTTTTTAAAAAGCTTTTGGAATGTGTTTGGAATTTTCAATTTGATTCATCAGGAAGATGAGATGTTTTATTTTAATATTTTTAAGTTTCTAAGTTCAAAAATTGGAAACTCTGCTTTCGATAGTTTAAATTATTTCTTCGATTGCATTGCTGCTTTGTGACCAGCTATCGCTCGTATCTCGTAGTTCAATACAATGTTATATAATGTAAATTGTATAGGAGAAATTATTATTTAACGGTTATGCCAGAAGAAGCATTAGTTTAAGAATGTTGCAATATATTTCCATTCCGATGTTTAGGTGTAAATTGCAGCTGCGCGAATTGCTCGAAACAAACGAATCGAAAATCTTGCAAAACTGTTTCACAATCGATAGTAATTCACGTAATCAAGATACTTTTTGCGTCTCGATATCAGTGACACGTAATTTCTCAAATTGCATTTCTCTCCTCATCGATCGTTGCCAAATTCAAAAGAAAAGTTTCCTCTTCTCTTTCTTTTTTAAAATGAAAAAAAAAAAAAAGGAATATCAGCAATAAATGCTTTTTGCGTATCGTTGCAATAAAACTTTCCAAACCAATAAGAAATAATAAAACACCTAAAACAACACAGAGAAAAAAGAATCTCTCATCGTAAACTCCATTGTCAACATTTACAACTCCTTTTCAATATAACCATCTTTTCTAATTTCTTATAAATCCACGGAAGTTGGATAGTTTTTGTATTTAAAACAAAACCATCGAGCTTGAAATATAATTAATGTTTCCGCATATATATATATATAGAAAATTTTTATATACGGTTTGCTTTTCCCTCGGGAATCCGATAAAAGCGATGAAATATCCCCCTCATTGTCGATAGTCACCGTGTAAAAGCTAGTTTACAACTATGTACAAGCAGTGTAAACTCGAAAGGATCGTAGCGAGGCCGAGAATTAAACGCGTGTCACCAACACCGACTATCGACGATCTAATCGTGAACGCAAGTCGCGCCAGTTTCTGCACGATGCACGTACAAAGTGCAACAGGTCGTTCCAACTAGCTTTTAGTACCGTCCACGATGTACTGCTGCACGGCTGTTGATTTGCATACGAGCTCGTACCGTGCCGCGTGTTTCATAACTTCTTTTAATTCCTTTTAACTCGAATTGATATTTCTGTCACGTCTCGTAGCCGAGATGCGCGAGTTTCACGTATACACGTTGCGCGCACGTTGGATTAGTCCATCGGGATATCGTTAAGAGAGACGTTAAGATCGTTTCTTTTTATGGGACACGGTAATAGAAAAAGATTTTTCTTATGAAAATCTTTCATACGAGTTGCCCTTTGATCTGTCGTGTCTTTTTAATTGGAGGTATTTCCTTGTTGCGAGGCGTGTTGTTATTGCTAGGTTTAGATCACAAGATTGCAGATATGTAACGATTGTACGTAACTAACTGTTGATTCGATATTTTAGAGAAAATATCGCACAGTTTTTTTTTTTAGAAATCTCTATGTTATCTATGTTGAATTTATTGTACGTTGCTTTCTTACTTAATTTAGATATAAATTATAATTCGTTACATTTGAAATCGATATACTTTTTGTATGAAATTAATTTGTCAATGGTCTTAATGTTCAATTATTGCTCGATTATTAATGCAATACTTGTCCTCGAGATCGTCGATTTTGAATATTTAATAATTGCATTTTCGAACGGACGAAATATTTCTAGAGGAAATAAAGATAAAATATTTCTGTGCATATTCTCTTTACTTTGAATTATTACCTTAATTTCTACTTCAATTATACTCCATTTAATCCGGAAGCATCTTAGATAAATCTTGATTAGCTTTTAAAATGACGATCGATATCTATATTTTTCATTACTGTATCGCGTTGATTTTTCGATTGGACGAATGACGTATGAACGTATAGTAAAGTCATCAAGCGAAAAAAATAATCATTAATTCACGAGTCACGTTGCTGATTCGTTCTCTCGCGTATCCACGTGTACCAATCTGCAATTCGCATCTGCAATCACCTTCGACCAATCTGTGGTCCTCATCTGCATTGCATTGAGTTGTCTCGTTGCACGTCTTTATCATAGATTATCATTACGATAGGTTGTTCTCTTTTGAAACATTGGATATTTTTCAACCGATTGGTAACAGATAATATAGAAGACAGTTTTTAACGATTAATATGGTTACTTAATATATTTTTATGCGTATCGATAACGCATTATTGTTGATCGAATTTTTCCTTCTTTTTTTTTTTTACATCGATAAATAATTTTCTGACGCGTGTGTGGTCGACGATGTGTTTTGAAGGAAATAACATAGTGATGATATCACCAATTTTTTAAAATTAAAATGGTCAAATTGTACATTATACAATATCTATTTGTAAAACAGAGAATAATTAAGAAATTTAAATTTAGATAGATAGGATAGAATATTAAATTGTGGATGGAAAAAAATTTCTTACCATTCATAAATGATATTTGTAAGATGTTGCTGTGTTCTAATAAAAACATTAGTTTCTTATTTATTATTTATTAAATTCTTCTAGAATCAAGAAAGAAACAATCGAATACGAACTGTTTACCTACTTAAGAAAAATTTCGAACGTAATCGCAAATCGTTACTTCCCCATATTTATATACATTTAAACACATCGTTTCTTCGTTAAATTGCATAATTATCTCATTCTGTTTTTTTTTTTGCTCGTCCTGAATTTTTACGACGGCGATGTCGAGGAACGGTAAACGGTGTCGATAGTGGCATTCGATGGATGTTCGTATAATCGATAAGTCTACCCTGGATGATCAATCTTTGATACAGCGACCGCAAATTATGCTCGGCTGTAATGTGTCTCGATAATCGAAATCTGGGGAAGGATTTCGGGGGGACCCTCTTCCGTGTACCTCGAGACACCGGTGTTCAGATAGCTTTGAGTATGCTTGCGGTTTCACCGGTGTGTCGAAACCCACCCGATTGCGATCGATACACAGAAAGTATGTAGACGCGTCGATGTGTATATACACGGTGTTCTGATTTCATATTTATACCGTCGGTCATATGGTAACATGGTAATGAGTCGTATTTTTTTATCCTTCGTATTTCTTCGTTAATGATTTTTTAATACCTCGTGGAACCGTTTAAAGCGAGGAATTGAGGAGTTTGTGCTAAGTAAAAAAAAAAAAAAAAAAAGAAAAAAAGGAAAAATGCTATAAATTTTAAATTTTACTCGAACATTAGTAAAAAAAGATTTGAGATTTGTAAAATTATGAGAAATGGATTTATAAAATCGATCGTTCGATTCAAAGATCGATATGGATCGATGGAATTAAAAATTATTCGAGATTATGAAATAACGAATAACGTTAGATTGTTCAATTATATTTATGTTTCGTGTGATTGTTCAATTATATTTATTATTATATTGCGAAATTGGCGAAAATAAAAATGTTGGAATTTATCGTAAGAAATCGTGATGAGTAAGGTGAGAGACAAGAGCAGAAACGAGCTTTCGTCATGCGTACACAACCGAGATTGCGTCACGCGTACGGCAACCAGACACGAATTTACGCATGAATCACGCACAGGTATACGTTAATCGTACACGGCCAAAGTATACCTATACACCTGGCGCGTTTACGTCCTCCTTCGAGAGGAGGTTCCCACACTTTCGCTGCACACCACCACCTCTTTCGACGGCTATCACCGTGTTGTACCTGCGCGTATCTGTTAGACACACGTGGATATTTCGAAATATTATATCACTCGATGAATTTGACTTTCCTCGGCCACTAAAATTCTAAAATTTAACGAAAGTGTACGTGTGCGCGCGCATATCTCATTGTACTTCGAATATTCATATTTATATCCATGATGCACGAAATCGGATTTTCGTTGGCGAAATTCTTCATTCGATTTCGATCGATCGTTTGATCGATATTGTAAAACTTCACGCGTAATTTACTTTGTGTTATACGAACAAGTGAAATCGTGTTTCAGTAATTGTTTCATTAGGTAATCAAGAAAGTTGATGTTTCTTTTCTGGGAATCATCGATTCATCAGTTCAGGAATGAAAAGGGTTAAAAATGTTTTCCATATCTCCAAAATAGTAATAGCTTTTAAAAAATTGGTATTATTTAAAAAATCGTTTCTCAAAAAGTTATTTGTATCTAGACAAAGGTAATCTTGCAAACCGATAAATCGTGTATCATCGTTCCACCGCTGTACCGCAAATAGAAGAATAGAAATCGGTTCGAAATGATTAAAAGTCAATAACCAGATACGAAAATGCAACGAATCGATGCATCCAACATTCTGTCCCGACGATTCATGGACCGTGAAAGAGCCGAGGAGCGAATTCCAATTAACAAGTGGTATTCCTCCTCTCCTGCTACAAATCTGCACGGTTACGCAACACATAATTAGATTTTAGATTCAACCATACCGACTTCTATATATATATATACATATATGTATATATTTATTTATATCCAGTTATTCAAATAAGCATCGATAATTGCGAATATGATAGAGTGTTCCAACTAATATTTGTTGTGCTCGCTATTTCTTCTTATATTGTATGATCAAGAAAAGAAAGAAAGAAAGGAAATGTAGTAGACGAAGCATAAAACACGAAGCGGTCATCCGAATAGAATATCTTCGAGATTAACTTCCGTCTTCGAAATGCCATCGAGAAATGAAGATACTAAATGTTCGTCGAAACTAGTTTGAAAACCTGTATGCCAGACGGTTAATTAGATTGGTGGACAGGATAGCTGGAGATATAGGTTTAGCCACTTCACAGAATTGATTCTATTTATGCGTTTATTAAGAAGTTACGCGTGTTCCTCCTTCTCTCTGTGCAACGAGATAACATCGTTGACAGTATGTTAAAACAAAGCTGAAATTTATTGTTCGAGTACATACAACTTGGCGAGTATTTGGCATTTTTTTGGAACGAGGGGCTTAGAGAAATGAAATGTTTTTCGTTGCGATCCAATTCGTTGGAGGGAATATTTCTTGCAAGAAATTGAATAATGAACGGGCTGATTTACATTGTGGGATAAATTACGAAGAAGAAGATGAATTTTATTAAAAGAAATCTTGATTTTTTTTTTAATCTTTATAATGGCATAATTATGAATGAAAGGGAAGATAAGTTTTATTAAGAAAGAATCTTGAATTTTTTTATTGGAAGCATGTAGAGTGAAATTTTCACAGAAGATTTGAAAAATTAGATTGGGATTAAATCTTACAATTAGATTTGCATATCGTTAATCAAACTCAGATTTCAAATCATGTATAAGAAATATTTCGTTATTCATCGTAAGATGGAGTAACATTGATTACAGATGTTATTTCTTTTAATCTGAATTTCTTACTGGAAATATTTCACTATTCATCATTGATGAAATTTTCCTGGGAAATCGAACTATCGCATCATCAATTCCTAAATCTTAAATCATGTATTAGATATATTTCGTAGCTTGAAGTTTTCTCACAAAACTTAAAAACTTAATAAAGATAATATCAATTATCTTTATACAAATTAAAAGTTTCGTTTTATGAATTCTAAATACTTCATCGATTACCATAAAGTAACGAATATAATTCATCACAATATTCTTCCTAAAAAAATGCTACGAAAAATTGATTTTCGTGTTATCATCAATATTGGATGCAAACATTGCATTTAACTGAAATATTATAATCGTTAACTTAATGCTCGATAAAATTATTCTCATTCGCATTTCACGCATCTTAACAAGCATTACACTCCACGAATCTCGACGAACCGACTTATTAAAATATATTGTGACTATTATACACGCGTGCTGCGACCGTTCTTTCGCGATATGTCAGTGGCAGAAAGAAGAAAAATCGAGTCGGTGTTTTATACCAGCCCATCGACCATAAATTATAATCAACGTCTGCACTAACACTCTAACAATTCGCCAGTTGAGTCATTAGAGGTTCGTCAGGGTGGATCGACCTTTATACGTTGAATCTCGTTATGCGAACGTGTGTTATTAAGAGCGTGGTTAATAGTGAATATCCTATAGGAATGGTTCTAATTAACTATCGTGTCTCGTATTGGTTGTTCGTGAGCATGCTTTGATTGTCATTAAAAAGTATTTAATGTCGCCTTGCTTATGCGAATAATTTCGTTGAAATAATTTCGATGATGTCTAAGAGATGATGATGATGATGATGATGGATCGAAGCATAATATCATCTACGATAATAATGATTATGATCGGTAATAATGATAGATAGATAACAGGAAACTTTTGATTTGTATTTTAAAAAATTCTTTTATTCATTAATTTTTTTTTTTTCGTTTTAGAAAATAGATAAATTTTAATTTACATGAATGAGTCATGTGATGGAGGATTAAAATTTAGATCGTTAGAATAGTTGGAATTGGGATAATTAATGTAGGAACGATTATATTTTTTAATACGCGATGAATTTTTTTTTAAATCAAATCGGATAGATTGGAAGGCAACTTATAAATTTTAAATGTTCGATTTTAAATTCAGGATATGTACATACTGCGTAATAGATATATATTTTTGCAATATGTATATTTCATTTCAACTTAAAAACTAATGTTAATTTTGTTAATTCATGCCCGGCAGTGCTTCCAATCGATTTAATCATATTGACATCGTAATATTGATATCAACATAATAATATGATAGCATAATCTTAAGCTATTGATCAATATTTACGTAAATGCAAATATTTTCTCGCCTTTGATCTAACGTACTGTATAATTCAAAATAGTTAAATAGTCAGATTCATATGTAGATTTTTTTACCTTTGCTCAATTTTTTAATATCCTCTGGCATAATAAATCATATTGAAGTTGTGACGAAAAAATACTTATAAGAAAGAAAGTATATGAATTAAATCAATAAATCTATCGATTTAAATGAAATTTAAAAATAATTTAGATGCAATTAATTTTATAATATTTTTTAATAATTTTAAATATGCATTTTAATAGTAACTCGTTTCATTATCGCGTATATGTAATGATATAAATTTTAATTCTTTCTAAAATTATTATCGTTGCGAAAAAAATATTATTATATGATATTTATCATACAACTTACCTTCCACTAAGGATGTTAAGAGCGTGACATTGGCAGCCTTCCTTCTTCCTGCTGGCAAATTCAGCCCAATTTTTTCCAATTTTTCCCTAAGCAGACGTCCGCCATTTTTGGATTTCGCTCTACAAAATATAAGAAAAAAAATGCGATCAATTATTTTTATTATAATAATATATAACACTTTTAATAAAAGAACATATAATTATTATAATTATATCAATATTTAAGGATACAAATATTCTTTTAGAAGATAAAACTTTTAAGATCAAAAGTTGAATAATATTTAAAAAATGTAGATATTGACGTAAGGATTAATATAATGATTCAAGAAATTGAATGCAATTAAAAAAAAAAAAATAAAAGGATGAATATGAACTATAAAATGAAGTTAAAATAATATCGAAGCAAATAATTTTGTCGTTTTTCATTTTCATGAAATAAAAACTCATTTATTACTCGATAGAATTCTGTCATCTCATAGAATACAAAAATGAAAAGATAAAATGTGTGTATTATACAGTAATAAATTTACAATGATAGAACAAAAAATGTATACGTGTATATTTTTTAAAAAACTTATAAAAAGTCAAATCATCATGTGTTATATATTCTAAAATACACGTTGCATTCAATCTGTTCATGCAAATTCATTGAAATGAAATTCTATTTTTCGGTTTCCTTTGTTCGCTTTGCGTTTAAATACGGTAACGCGCGCTTCAAACTAAGACTCGTTCTAGAGCGCAGAGATTACGAAACGGAATTGCCCCATTAATCATTTCTGATCTTTGAAGGAAGAGAAAAAAAATCGACTAGTAACCGAGGGAGGAAGGGAGACGGAGAGACGAGAAAATTAGCATAATCCGTACGCGTGTCATCCATCGACGATTGAGTAACTTTACGAGTCGATGGCTGACAAGATACTTTCAAAGGTGTTGCACGTGTTGCACAAAAGAATAAAATGTTCTACATATTATTGAATTCGAGATAAAAAATTAATCATCAGCTTATATTTTTACATTACTTTCACACATCAATTATACTATTATTGACATAAATTATTCTTTTTTGAATCTTCCTTCGTAGAAATTTTTGAAAATGATATTATTTCTCCATAGGAAATCATTAAACAGTTAATAATTTTGAAAAGATTATTCATTGGAATAATAATCTGAAGGTCGTTCTTCTTTTTTTTTTTTTTAAATTTCCTAACTTTGGAAATTAAAGTAATAAATTACCATGCAAATTCTTCGAAGATTCTCTTTCCCAAAATTAGAAATCTCTTTTAAAAGGTATAATGAATCTAAAATCTCTCGAAGACAAAATCAATGTCAAATATGGTTTCAACTTTCGACAAGATATACGATATATTACAATTCACGACTCTCATTCTAATCTCATTACACCTTATATATCTATATATTAAATATGTACATGTATAATCATATTACACAAAAATCTTTTGAAATTCTTGAACAACCCGAAATCGAATATTGAGATTGAATATTCATGCTAATAATATTCATTTGAGAAAAGAGTAAACATTTTTCGAGCGAATAGACCAAAACTCAAAAAATACTCAAAAAAAAAAAAAAAAAAGAAAATGACAACGGAACTCGAAGAACATCCTAAATATTTCACAAGCTCTCGAGATTATTTCGCGGAAGATGGCCGAGAATTCGATAGCGCTTCTTAACACACCCTATTCATCCATCATTCGTGGACCGACATAACGGTAATACGTACTTATACACATATCGGCTACCTTTGTTCGTCTCGAGTAGCCGGTTCATCCGGTAATCTTTCGCTTCGCTCGGCAATTAATACACTTTACCGCTATGAGTTTTTAATATATCTGCCGAAAGGATCTACGCCTCCTCGTGATGCGGCCTCATGATTCTTCCACGTAACATCATGGAGATGCTAAGCAAACACTTCGATGCTTTCTCCATTATAGATTATACGATATGGGAATAAAGTTTTTTTTCTGTCACTATATGATAAACGTATTAAATAAATAATTTTTATTCTTTATCATTATGATAACGGTAATGTATACGAAGTGTTAATATATTGGGGCATATTTTTTGGAGGATAAAAAATTTTTGTTATTTATTAAGCTGTAAGCAATTGAAATTTGTGTTGAACGACGTTTTTATTTAATCAAAACTTAAAATGCTTACGAGTTAATAAATAAATCAAATTCTGTGTTTGTTTTAATCTCTAAAATTGACTTTTCAAGAATATATTCACATTTCGTATATTTTTGGTGAAAAGATTGATTTCTTCTATGTTATAAATAAGATAAATAAGTTCTTTATCATTGTAATTTTATTGCCATACAAGTGGAATAGATATATATATATATAGTTTGATTCAGAGGAGAGGAATTCTTTCGATAATTTGTGAACGTTTATAGTTTGGGGGGATCAGATAACGTTTTACTGACAACGATAAACCTTTGTTGTGCTGTATCGAACGTTTCTCTTTTGTATCTTTTGACGTTTCATTGTCGAACTGAAAGATTTGATTGAATTTCAATTGAGAGAATTCGAGATTTTTACTTTCTGATTTTGGATACGTGACGTTTTATATTTTATATCCTTTTGTTAAATTAGATTTCACAAAGTCTTTCGTATTCTTTCTTCTTTTATATTTTCGTTATATAACTTTATATATTCTGTACTCTTTTGTACGCACTATACTTTAGATTTTATGTCATCTTGCATATCACGTACTATGTCTATGGATTCTTATATTTTAATTTTACTCATCATAAACTCGATACACTTATTTCTTCTTCTCATCACGAATAATTGCTGTCCGATAAAAATATATCCTTGTACATAATTTCCTCGTCACATTAACACGCGATTATCCTGTACAGTTGGATAATTATATTGTTATCGTGCCAGGACATTTACCCGTTTAATCCCGAGAAGAAGTTTGCGCAACTCGGTATCCTTCCACTTGTTCGATTCACCTTCGAGTGTTTCACGGTGTGGAAGGAATTCAACGACGACAGTATCTCCATATACATATTTATTATCGAAGCCTGGATAGCGATTCGTTTGTACGTGACGAGAGCAATTCTTCATTCATTACACAGTCTTGTCCCGAGAAGGATTCTCGCCTTCTTCTCCAGCGAACTGTGTCCCTCCCCCTGTAGAGACTTCTACAGGTCTTCTTCACACCCTTCTTCACTCGATCCTCCCCCGATATGAACTTCAGAAATCACCCCTGATTACTCGAGAGATGTCCTCGACTGGTTGACATTAATCGTTAAAATCTCGAGTCAACGAATGATTCGTGATCGAGACTTTGAATGGAAGAGGGTATCGTTGAGGGTGTTATTTTTTTTTTAATCAAAAGGGATTCTATTGCACGTCCTTTTTTTCTTCTTTTTATTTCAAATAAAAATCCCTTTCGATTAATTTAATAGGATATGATTCGAGAAGAAATTTAGAAAAAGTTTCTTCTTCCCCTCCATCCTTCTTCTCTCTCTTAACGAACGATATTTCATAATATTTAACTTCGAAATAATTTATTGTCAGTAGTTATAATACGATACGATCGTTTCATGGGTATTTAATTATTCATAATTATTACATCTCTAAAGATCATCAGTACGCGCGCAGCATCCAATTATAATCCAAGATTATAAATTACACCGAGCAATTTCACATTTCGCAATCGTCTTTTAATAATGATTTAATTTCACTCATCTCAATATCTCATGCTATTTCTTCTTCTTTTTTCTTTCGAAAATTCGCAATAAGTTCAGCGATTATCAACCAAAGTGCAAAAAGATCTAGGCAAAGAAGAAGACGATCGATGATACTGCCGACAGAGGAACATCGATTCTTTTTTTTCTTTTTTTTTTTTTTTTTTTTCGACGATGCTTAAATTATCCTGCTTATTCGCTGTAGAAACAATCGTATCTCGAGGATCTTTTGCAACGTAATATAACTGTCGATCGTAAACCTTCGTTCGGTCATAAAGATGCAACGCAACTCGAAAGAAAGTAGAAGAAATAGATAAACGAAAGAGAAGTAAAAGAAAATTTACGATGTCATCAAATAACCATTCGCGAATAGCATAATTTCGATCCAACTGTTATCATTCGCCTCATCTATTTGATTTAATTTTTCTTGATGAAAAGGACAATAATGTTTTCAATGATACGAAAGAATTCACTTTGATCAATTCTTGTCTCGAAGAACGATTTTACGTTACATTTTTTGACTTCTTTTTTTAAATTAGAATTTTTTTTATTGTCCAATAAAAAGTTGTCGTTCTAAATTTTCGATTTTTACACGAACAAATACAGATACTTTTTCTAATTATATTTTACACAGAGCATGAACGTTTATCGCGGAAATTTTCGGTCGGATCTTCGAGAGAGGAAACTAGAGAAATAGCAAGTAAAAATTATCTGCTCGTAAAATAGAATTTTATTTGTCTGTTATTGCTACATTTGTTTAATGCGCTTAATACGCTTATTGCTTAACAGTCGTAAGTGCGGAGGATTTTTTTTGGGTCGGTGAAACAATAATAACGACATGACGTTAATACGTCTTATTGTCTGTGTTTCGCGTTAAAGTAGAGAGATTACAATGGAAAATTGCTCGATGGTAATTTCTCAAAGTCGTTAACCGATTGTGAGAACGGATAGATATGAAAATGAAACGTGAAATTATGAATAAAACATACGCTCGAATCGACTTTTACGATTCGAAAAACGTGCGCGTGTTTCTCAGTTGGGGAGCGTGTAAAATTTTTTCTGCATCATTTCAACAAACATTTACAAGATCATTGTAAAACACGCCGTGGTATAACCACATTTTCAAACTTAATTGTTCGCAATTTAAACGAGAAAAGAAGTAATGACGTTCCAACGTTGTAAAGAATTATTAATCGCGGTTGTGGCTTATGACACGCAAACTTCTCTAACCTATTCATTTCAGCAGAATATAAATAGAAATGCGGAAAAATTTTCGTTTCTGAAAACTACTAATTCCCCCACTAATCCAATACCAATTCCTTGAAATTTCATATAAGTCGAAACAAATTTTAATCGATCAACCATTCATCACTACAATACTACAAAATTCTATATCTTCCACATTATATTTGCTCGTACAAAAACTCAGAATCACCAACTCATCAACATTATTCCCTCCGAACGAAACACCAATATCCATGTATCCGAAATAAGGGTAGGGCACCCCAAGCCCTATTTATATCACCGATCGAAACGAACCAATACACATCCTCAAAGCACATCCTAAAAGCTTTCTTCTCTCCATCACGAAATCGTCAGACGGGATCGAGAAGGCGTGCTCCCGTAGAAATCGAATTTCATCGATGGTTAACGAGATATTCTCAAACTCCCTCTCCTCCCCCCAACGATCGAGGAGAGTTGCTGCAATTTTAATTTTCGCTCCGATTCATAAAAGGGGTTGAAACTCACTGAAAAACACGTGCGCAGAAATATCGGGTTGCACACTCTTCGAGAGTGAAATCGCCGTGTCGATCGTAAACATTAATTCACCGTGAAGGTAGAAGATCGCGGAGTGGTGAAGGAGGAAGGGAGGAGGGGACGCGAGCGAGAGAAGAGAGAGAGGGGGGGACAAAAGGAAGGCAGATGGGCACGGTAGAAATCTATGGTGGCAAGAGAGCCGGGCGCGTGTAATTATCGGCCGGATCGCTATTCGAATGGATGAATTATATCGTCGCGGTCTGCGGTGTGCGCAGCGGATGCCAGCCCGAGGGCCGATCGCGCAACCAGGAATTGACACTCGAAGCTATGCAATTATTAATGTCTCATTTGCATCGGGGATAGATCGGCCGCTTTATTGGCAGTTTATTCATCGTTCTCCTTTTTCCACCCACCCCAATCATTCTCCGATTCTCGTCGGTTCGATCCAATGCGAACGATTATGCTTAAAATGTTTTCCAATGTTTTTTTCAATATATATATATATATTTTGAAAATTGTGTTTCGTATCTCTAAAAGGTAAATCATCATTAAGTATCACTTGATATCAACTTGATATTCCATCTAAAAAAAGAAGAAAAGAAAAGCAATTTGTAGAAACAAGATGCAAAACACGACATGCCGCGTTACTAAAAAATACTCTCTCTTTTGTCGTCCAAGGTAGAAATATGGCGTGCATGGTACATAATCGAAATGGATACCGTTACTTTATCTATCCAGTTAATTAATAAACGCGCATTCGCCTTATTCGACCACCTCGTGCTCGAGCACGGACAGCGGGCTGATTTATGAGTTACCCTCTTGGAAGCGGGAAGAGCCCGCTTCTTTATCTGATTCGCCATTTTACTCGGTCAGAACATTATCCGTTGCGCAATGCTTTATCACCAAAGGCGTGGATAAATCACTGTATACCTACGCCCGGATGTATCTCACGCACGTGAGATCTCTCTACTCTTCTTGGGCTTGGTTGGTGCGAACGATTTTTTGTCTCTCGAAGGAAACACGGATCAGAGGGGAGAGGAGATCCGAGGTGAGATTTGAATGGAAGGTGTGCGGATAAGATAGTGGTAATAAACGATAATAGAGAGTTGTTCGTCTTCGTCGTGTTTTCGTGTTAACGGACGCGGTTGAATCGCAGTGGTGCGAGTCAATGATTCCACGTTCGCGGAAGCGGTGGCCGTCGACGAGGAATTAATAACGTCACCTCGGTAGTTGGTAGTACATAAAAACGTGATATTAGCTTCCGACAAATTCCTTGAAATTTATCCATAATTTTGATATCTTTTTTCCATCACAAAAATTCAAATAATAATACTTCTAATTATTATCAGTGAAAATAAATTATACCACCACTAGCACGTTATTATTATTTATTCAAAGACACGACGCTACGACTCTGTTCGCGAAAGCTTATAAAAAGATAGATAGAACGTCGAAACGGGCACATTTCAAACATTCCATCGTAAACAAAGATCGACAAGAGATCGAGACAACGTCGTTTAAAAGGGAAACGGAAGTTGGAGGGAAACGCCACCGATTTTACGATATTTCAAAGCGCGTTTTCCAAGCAAACAGTTCGGTCTACGAGCAGGGGTTAATCCCCTTATAGAATTGCATTATGCAAAACGAGAGAGGGCGCGTTTCAGGGTGTAATATCTTACCTCCGTAAGACGCCGCCGAGGAGGCTCGCGTTCAAGCATTCCGGCGGCGATAGTCGTCTTTGTACCTCGGCCACCGTAACTTTGTACTTGCTGGTGCTGCTTAGTAACGATAATCGTCCTGGAACCGAACAGAACACATCCGAAGGCTGCGCGTTCCCGGTCAGCATCGCCTTCTCGCTCCTGTCCGACGGTTTCATGTCTGTAACACGTATGCGGTCGAAGAATTATGCATTCCACCGATTGGGAATCAATTATAGCGACGAGAAAGTGGCTCGTCCGACGTTTTAATTTAAGCTGAATTTCGAATTCGGCTGGTTAATGAATGTCACGCGATTAAAAGCGTTGGATGGATACGCGTGTGGGGCAGAGTTATATATTGTTTGTAAGAAATTCGTTCGGCCGTGTTTGCGAAATTGTAAATGGATGGAGATTGCAATTTGGATCGATGGAACGAGTATTTAATTGTCCCCGCGTGTTTAGCTGCCGTTATTCAGGATATTATAAATTTAAATGTGAATGTATGTATGCTTCTTTTTTTCTCTTTGCTCGAACGGCGACAAGCCACGTGTAATCTTGTTGACCGAGATACGCATCGACTTTGCTCGCAAATGATAATAAGTTATCATTTGTTGTTTTTCTCGCGACGAATATTGAAATATTCAAGATCATAATAATAATAATAATAATAATAATAATAAAGGATGTAGAAAACTCGTATGGGTAGATAGGTGTGATATAAACGCGGAATAATGCTCATTATCATCGCCTTAAACTTTCATTCTCGTATGAATGAGTTACTTGTTAAATAAATATAGTACAATAAGATAGCGAGTAAAATTGTATTATTCCCATCGAATAAACGGAGTCTCCGGATTTTGAACGAGAAATTCTACTTTATCTTCTCTAACAAAATATCCGTTGTGCATTATTCTATAACTTTTATATTATTTATTTAAAAGAACGGAATCAGAATCAAATCACGAGATTGATCAATTTTACGACGTGATGAAATGAAACGAATGATCATTTCCACGCATAAACAAGACGTAGAACACGTATGTTCGTAATAATAATTTAAATATACCAAGTGATAAGGATCGTAACGTTCAACGAAATAGAATACTTAACAAAATTAACTATCAACAACTATTTAAATCGATAAAAACGATAAATTATTACGTTTTTCCACGTAAAATTATTTCTCAATTAATTTTCGGTCGATGAAAGGTATGCGATAATAATCCTGTTAAAATTACCGCTCTTGCGAAAGGTCAAAGACTCGGTTTAACGAGTGGCCGGGAAGGAAGGAATACCGAAACCGAAGGTTCTTCCGAAATTACCTTATTCTCCCTCCTGTGTATATATATATGTATATATATATACATATAACCATGATATCAGGGCAATATTCTCCGCGAAATATTTTAAATTCGCCGTGCCTCGTCCCGTTTTCGTTTCTATGCATCCGATAGTCCCGCATTATTGCATCGTTGCTCTGGAATGCTTAATATAGGGCCGCGGGGTCCGGACAAAGCCGTGTTATTACAAGGCGAATCGATGGTCAACTTATAACTCGAAACTCTTCATCGTTGCTTCCCTCGATCATGAGCTACACCTATGGTTTATGGCAGTTTAGAACGAACACTAGTTTTAAATCTCGATAACCTCGAAAGATTCTCGTTGAAAAATATTGTAATATACGACACAGCGTACGCCATGTTTTTTTTTTATCTTCTTCTTTTCTTTTTCAGTATAATGCGTTCAGGTTTTATGCATAAAAAAACCCTTAAAGGTTTTGGGTGAAATACAGGTTGAGAGAGATTTTCAATCTCTTGCGAACGTAAGAATTTTGTTCTTGCAAAATTTTTATTCATAATTTCATCCCTTCCCCTATTCAGAATTGCAACTTTGATAATTAATCACCCTCGTTCGAATTCGAGAAAAATTCATCCTCTTCCATTTTTCCATTGCCTCAATTTCTCTCAACCTCCAATCCACGAAGAAATTCATTTCTCTGATTGCTGACAATTGTTTTTCGGCAAAGTTATTACACTTTGGTTCGAGAAGAAAGGGAAAAGGAGGGTAGAGCGAAAGGGAGAGAGAGAAAGAGAGAAAGAGAGTTGCAAACAAGTTGTCAAGCGGATCAGTCCACAACGACGTCTCGATCGGGCCGGGTTAAACGGGTAATAAATTTCTACCAAAGACCAAATAGGTCGACTAGGTGGATTTGTTCCGCGCTTATAAATCGTAATCCCGAGAATGAAGCGGTAGAAAATCGTGGTGCAAGCGGCATGCTGATCGAACCACGCCGGACAATTTCGTAGGTTTTAAAGAATTACGTTTGAGGCAATTACACGCAAGACACCTGCCCGTTACTATATTTTATAATCGATATAAAGGAGAGAAAAATGTGTTTCCTTACTTTCTAACTTTCACCATTTCGATTTTTTAATTTGAGAAATTAATCGGTACTTTGATCAATCATCCAACACGATTGTTTGTCTTATAGAGTATAGGAGAAAAAACGTAAGATTTTTAAAAAGCAATATGTTTCATCATGAATTAAAATCATACCAAAAAAATGTATTATTTTTATCAACCAGATAGAATTCTTCTTTCTTTTTTCAAAACTTGAGAATTTTTAAAATTCCACGTTTTCTATTTCATTTCGGATTAGAGAAATCATATGATATGAAATGTCAGAAAGTATCGTTTTGAATATAGAAGGAGAAGAAGAAAGGAAAGAACGCTTCGAGAAACGTTCCTCGAGTTTATCTCGGCTTGTTATCTTTAACGGCACTGGAAGGTGTGTTAATTTATCTAATGGGAATAACTCATTTTCTTTGCTTACGTTCTTGGCCACGTTATAAAACGTGTAATTATCCTATGGGTCGTTTTAACCTTTGAATTGTGAAATCGTCTCAGCGATGAGCCCGAGTTATCGATCAATCGATCGTGAGTTAATTACCTAGGTATGTTATCGGTTAATTCATGGACAAGTGTATAAACGATCACCCGTGACATTTCCATTCTTCCATCCTCCTTTTCAACTGGGGATCCAACGGATATTACGATATCAAAATCGTAAACAAGTCGAAATATTTTTTCGCTATTATGACAAATGTCCTCCTTTCCAAGGGATGTTCAACGATAGCGCACCTAGCACGATCTCTTACTCGATTTATCTTAACGACTAAATTGCAATGCGACGGGCCACGTTCGTTGGAAATTATACCATGAAATTCATTCATGGCGGTAATTTGCAAATTGCTAGGTGCGCGTTGAAAAAAAGGAAAAAAAGAAATAATTCTTCTTTTCCCCTTTTTTCCGCCTCTTCTTTATCGTTATTTATCTATTTCCACCCCCCCTCCCCTCCCCTCCTCCCCTCCCTCCCTCCTAATTTTTTCCAAACACTTTCGAAATTGCGTTGATTTATCGCGTCGTTGTGAAATCACGATTTAAGATGGTGATTTAAGATAGTATCATTATGTCACTCGTGCTTGTAAAATACGCGTTTTATTCAAGAATAATATCATTGTGAAAACGGGGATTTAATGTGACTGTTTATCGAGTTTTAAATGCGAGAGATACTCGGTTGAAAGATCGAGCGTTTGATATTTCAGGTGAAAGAAAAGTACACGGTCACAAGTATTAATCATACATATTGTAATTTTTTTGAGTTAACATTTACACGCTTTCTAGTTATTCTACTTTAATTAAATGATAGATACAACTTGTAATCGACGATGAGAATCAAGATATGGGAAAAAATATGTGGAAAAAGAATATCATATTTTTATTTTCTATTCTTTCTTGAAATTCGCAACTTTTCATTCTAACTTCCAACCAAGAATATAAGATTTCATAAATCTTAAAACTTAATTACCAAAGGTGATCACAAAAATCACGGAGAACGCGACGACAGAGTATTTTAAAACTGAACGTCGTAAATTTTCGTCGTATGGATTCGAAACTTAACCGACTAATGAGATTTTCACTCATCCTTCACGCTCTCCTCAACCTGGAACCTGGATAAAGAAAGCACGTAATCTACATTCTCGTCTCGGTATCCAGGGATCGGTGGCGCGTCTTGTTTTAACCCGAGATAACGTCTAGGAAGTCGCCACCAGATAATTTGTCACTCGAGCAACGTGGATATATTACCGTTGAAACAAAAGTGGCAAAAGCCTTGGTCACGACTTCTACAACCGTGAAAACGACTCGCTTCTACGTTGCACGGGTTAAACAGCCAGCGTTTACGTTAATTACGGTGTTCATAATGTGATAAATAATAATATATACGACACGTTTATCGTATTAGATGATTCTTTTAATGGTACAATTTTGTGGCGATAGAAACTAATTTTGATAAAGGATCGTCGATCAAAGATTGAGGAAATTTAAGTATTTTATTTAGATAGATAGAAAATGAAGAATTTTTAAAACTGTGAACGATTCTTGCCTCATATCGATGCGTTACAGTGGTATGCTTCTCTAGGAATTATTAAAATTTCCTAAATCCGTATTGACAATTATAAAATATATTTTTTACTATTCGACTTTTATTTAAATGTAACAAAAGATGTTTTTATAATTTTCACTTTTAGAAGAAATGTTTAAAAGATTGGAAAAAAATAAAATAAAATAATAACGAGGGAAGATTATTCGTCATGATTGAACTCTCATCAAGCGATTAATTTCGCAACAAGTTTTAATATTTTTCACTTCGTTAAAACAAGCAACGATCGTTTGTCAGAGACATTGAAATGGTATCGACGATATGGCCGAGGCGTGGGCAGTCAATTAAGCCCTGGAACAGCGATAAATCGTTGCTGCTGTTTGATCGGGGAGACCGAATAAAACTTCTTTCCATTTGACGTCGGTGGATCTCGGGCACGGAACAACTGTCTGACAGGTAGATTGCGGCAAATGGTAAATCGTGGGCGGAGATTGTACGTTCGCTACAATCATTATAATGTTAGGAAAGTTACAATGGAGTAACACATTATCGAGAGAACAGTTTGATAATAACACGGGCCACGTGATTCTCGATCATGAAGCTTGTTGATCGTTATCGTCTCCCGATATTTTCTCCTTGTTGAAACTTGGCTGTTTTGTTTCAACGACGAATATTCGAAATAATGAAATATTGGAAGAGAGAGAAATTGTTCGATCGAAAAAATATTACGATATTTTTCT